ATAGAAACATGTCTAAACTTATTAACATTCCATTAGGTTCTTGTTTCTGTAAGAATATACGACATGCGATATACGACGTTTTAAATATGAAAGATTTAAAGAATACTTGTGCTATATGTGAATTCTCATTTATTTGTATTTTTTAGGATTGTGTTTGTATTTGAATTTATATTTAAAATCTAGTTTAAATATATATATATATATATGTGTGTGTGCGCGCGCGCGAGAACGACCGTCTCGAGAGACAATAGCCATAGATTTTTCCCTTGACCTTCACCTACAAGTGGAAAATTTTGTCCTTGAAAGCGATAAAGCCAAACCTTGAATGCATAGAGAAATGTCACATCTTTTCGCTTCCCGGTTAAGCATACATATCCACGTCCCCCATCTCTTTCTCCTCCTTCTCAAGCAGAACTATTCCGGCAAGTCCTGCACCTGAAATCGACAAAAAAGACAATCCAGCATGTGTGAAATCATAAACATGTAAAATCACTATGATCGGAATAAAATCCTGTTGTTGAAAATCAAATTGGAAATCCAGAAAAAATGCGATTACCTCTATCAATTCTGGAAAAAAAATGGAACTTTCTTCTCAACAAAGAACCCATGATGAATCGAGAAGCTTCACCAAATAACCATAGAGTCAAAACCAAGAAAATGTCGTATTTTTCATCATCCCGACCTCGACTGTCCCCTTTCGCTGTGTCCTTCTCTCGATAATTTCGTCGTCCAGATTAAAGACGTTTGCCATTTCGCCGTCTCCGTTGTAATTGGCACATTTGTGTCCACCCCAAATCTAGAACAAACAATTAGAGGCTTGATTTCGGAGAAATAAAGAGAAACGTACCTCAAGCTTCTTAGATTTTAAGGGAATGGATCTGTTTAAGATTTAAAGGCACCAATTTATAAGCAATTTCAGGATTAATTCTATACATCTAAAAAATACTAAATGATATTCACTCAAGATTTGGAGAATTGAACAAATAATTATGAGTGAGGATTAAACGAATCTGTATCCTCATGTTTTAATTAAAAATTTATTACCTAATTGATTAGAAACATCCGAATGTGTCATCCGATTGAAGCTCTACTCTTGTGATTAATGTATTAATGATTAGATTTAAATTTAATTTGAATGACAGAAAAAATCTTTGATATTTTTAATGTGTAGAGACACGTGTCACACCCTCAACAACTGAACTGTAGTTTTATAGATACTAGGTATTAACCCGCGCGAATCGCGCAGAATAAAAATATATATTGATTTTAAATAATTTTATTATTAATTTTAATTTTAAATATAATATATTTTATTTTTATAGAAATATCGAGGTGGAGAGATGATAACTAAATTTTTCGATGTATAATATTGAACCGTTGTATATCGGAGTAATATTTTATTAAATTTTATGACTATAAATTTTTTTGAAAATCAAGTGATGTCTAAAAAAAATATAACTATTGAAAGTTTAAAAATATAATTTTAAATAACAATATAAATTTAGTTATCATCTCAATTTGTTTAATCTTATTTTTTATGACCCGTGACAAATCTATTATCGTCTCATACAAATTGATCCGACTGATCTTTCATTTAAAATATACATTTTAAGGCTGAGCCGATAAATCTCTATTTCAAAATGAAAGCTTATAGACACCTAACATACATTTACAAAAAAGATTTTTTGGAATCAATTAAAGAAGCAAAACATTTTTCCATAATTATAATATTTTTTCAACGATAATAATACATAATTAAACCGTGTAAAAGGAATATAGATACATGTATAGATATAGAGAGAGAAAGTGGCGTTTTTTCAGATTTATGAAATTAGGGTTTCGATTTTTTCTCTTTCAAATTTTAGAATTTTTTATTCGGTTTAGTAAATTGAAAACCGGATTTTTTTCTTCTCAAATCGGTTTAAATTTCGAAACCAAACATGCTGATGTGGCGAAAATAAATTTAAAAAATCTGACATAGACATGCTGACATCAACATTCCGGACAAACGTGGATTTCCAGTTACCTAAAAATTTGATCAAACGGGTCAACGGTCTAATTGACCATTAAATTGCAAGTTAGAGGTTTTGTTGAGATATATGTTATAAGTTTCAGGATAAAATGATACATTTGCAAGTTGAAAGTTTATTTATATAGAATTTGGTAAGTTAGAGTTTTTTTTAGGGATTTTACCATTTTTTCAAAGATGATACAATTCCATTGACCAAAAAGGTCTTCTTTTTTTTTTTTTTCTTGTCCCAACCAAAGTCCGAAAAAGATTTCATCTTTAGAATTTTAGGGTATGCAAATATTCATGGAAATCAATTTTCAAATATTTTATGAGAATTATGAAAAGTTTTATATTCGATTATCTGTATAGAAACAATTTTTTTGTAAATTTTAACATAAAAGCCTTTAAATCTAGATACTTAGAAATATATAAATACAAATGTATGCATAATACTATATCTCTTTTTTTTATAAATAATATTATATCTCAATATAAGATTTAACGAATTCTGATGAACTTTCTGGTTATAAAAAAAAAAGATTTCACGAATTTGATATAACAATAAGCCAAAATATATAATATCATGCCTGTGAATTTAAACTCATCCTTAACCTACCATTTGTTGCCCTTGTTCTTTCACAACTCGTGACTACAACTCAGATTTCTATCGAAAATAATAATAATAATAATAATAATAATAATGATGATTTTTTCCACAATTGAACATGACGATTCAACATTGAATCCTTTTACGAAAAACCATAAAATGAAATTAATTTTTGCTATTTACTTGTTTTCCAATATATAGATATATGCAAAAAAGATAAATTTAATTACTTAATTTCTAAGTTTGCATCCATTGTAATATAATACGTGTCATATAGGTGGTTCTTAAACAATTTTGTTTTTAGAATAATTTTAATTTTATGGCTTTTATATACTACTTATGGTTGCTTTGTGGACAAATATTATTGTGTAAGTTCGACCATTTTATCCGAAGAATTCTAAAAAAATTTATTAATGACATTACAATCCTATATATATATAAGAGATTTCATATCATTCCCATATATGCCATTTTTAGGCTCTTGGCAGTATGTATACATATATACATAGACCTTTAGATATATTGTACGTAATCAGTAAATACAATAACAGAGTTTTTTTTCATTTATTCAAAAAAAGAATCTCTAATTTGGTTTTTAAAAAAATGCATTGTATATAATTTAATTCGAAACAAAATATAACATTTGGCATGCACGACTCTTGGTATGCATGTGATGTGTATATAAAAAAAGAGTATATATATATGTATATATCACTATAATGGTATATTTATATTTAGTTATTTTATCTATTTGTTTCTACAATATTTTATGTATTTAGTTGTGCTTTTACTTTTTTTTTTTTTATCAAGTCCACCCGCAATCAATTTAATTGCGGAGTACACATAATGGGAGTACATATAATGGAAAGCGGCCAATGAAACTATTTATTCGATACCATTTATATGTACTGTTTTGAAATATGAGAATTGTATAGATAAATAATGGATTTTATTATTTAAAAAAGAAATATATTTTATGATGTTTTGAATATGAGAATTATATACCTATAACATAACTTTTCTTGATTCTAATTCTTTATAACTCATTTAGGGATCAAACACTTGGAAAGAAAAACAAATCATAGAACATAATATCCGTGTTTGTGATGTGTTTCAATGTGAGAGAAAACCCGAGTATCTCAAGCTCTACAAGTGAGGAGGTTCACATTCTCCGACGCCAGTGAGTAATGATCTTTACATGATAAGGGAAATCCGTTAATGTTTTAGGTGTCAAGGGAAGCAAAAATATATAGGAATTTAAATCTACACATATTTATATACATATTTGTTTTTCTTGAAGAACATGCTCAATCTGCAAAATAAAAATACATGGATCCAAGTGTTAAGTGCTAATTCATTAGTCCTTTGCTTGATTACACGGACCAAAGCAAGTGTATATGGTATGATACGATTGAGGTTAGCAGTTCATTCAAATTGAAAAAACAAAGGATATGACAATCACAGAAATACCTTGCACCAATGAGACGATACAAAAGTTGTTGTAAAACAGTCAAATGCTCCAAGAGTCTTCACTATACAAATCTCTAGCTATGATGTACCCATGATCCTCATATTTGTAGAACTCAACAACATCATAAAACCCCTGAGGGCCTTAGGCCACAAATTCAAATAGGTGAAAAACATGACACCTTATCCTGCACGGGAGCAGGTTTTGGAAGCCGTTCTGCTTCAATATCATATTTTATCGAATCATAAAATTTTTAAAAATATTCTTCCAATGTTACACATTTTAATCTGTGTTTTTATATTATAATCCACAAAACTATAAGTATAGAAACTATTCAAAATCTTTATTCGAAAAAATGTAATAACCCCGGTAGCTTGACATTTGAAAAATTTATCATTTTAATTTAAGAATAAATTATAAATTTAAAAAACAAAATCTAATAATAATAATAATAATACTTTTATGATTTGTATATATTTTTAGTTCGCCGCGATTTTCAATATAAAAGTGTACTTTTTAGTAATGTCCACGGACTCCATTATACCTAATTAGAAAGAAAACAGCCGGATTAATTTCATCGTTAACATTAACTATTAATTCATCGTTATCTTCGAAAGGATGATAATGCGTTTGAAATGTTATAATTGTCATCGAAATTTTGGAGTAATATTTATTTTTCAAACTCTGAAAAAGATTTTTATAAAACTTTAGCAAAACGATGTTATTTTTAGGGCTGATGTTAAAAAATAAAACTATAAATTTTTAGGGAACTTTTTCTTTTTACAATAATTAGAAGTTTCTAATTTTGCGAATAGCTTATTGGGCCTTTCTGGGCTGTAGCGGAAAGTGTCCCGATCACGAATGTGTTAAATTCCATGAACGGTCATTTAATATGGGGTTGTTTTGTTATTTCCAATAGTTAAGGGTCAAATTTAGAAATACATAATTTTGGGTTCCTTCGAATGACCGACACAAATGCGTCTCATTGGATCTCATTGATTCAGCGAGTCAGGTGCAAAGGCATTACTCTCTCTCTCTCTCTCTGTGTCTCTCTCTCTCTCTCTCTCTCTCGCTCGGAGCACAACATTTTCCTGAACGATCTCATCGCCAGATCTTGTCGGCGAATTAATGCGGTCTGGGTTTCTTCTGCGCTTGCCATCGGTAACATCCTCCGTCTTCACAGCTCTGAAGGGCCTGTTTGCATGTTTGCATGATCAGGCTACGGTTCTAGTTTGCTAAAATCCATCTTCTTCTCCTCTCCATCACCTTGAATCCATTACATTTTCTATTCATTCTTGTTTTCGATATGTATGATTCATGTGTATATAACAGAAAAGAAAACTATTTCTGGAACAAAAAATAATCGAAATACCATCTCGACAATCTTCATCGGCGTCATCACCAAAGTAATAATCCCCATTTTCCGAGTTCATCATCTTTTTTATCATCCTGAAATTCACCCAAGAATACAATAAGTTGATAAGAGCAAAACCAATCCACGGAATCTGTAGAACCCAAAACAAAATTGCGTTAAGAAGACGAAGACGAACCTTGCTGTCGAATTTCATCATCTTAATGGGCCTTCCTCTTTCACCTGAATCCAAAACAAAAACGCGAAAAATCATCGTTAACACCAACCAATTTGCAGAAGCCGTTGTACAAAGATGAGAACGGTATGGAAAAATCAAGACAAAATGCGAAATCGATGGTTGTTTCGACGTAGATCAACAAACAATGGAACGGATAGAATTACCATTTCTCATGATTAAGATTGTTATTCAGAAGGAATAATTCGTAAGTACGTACCCAGGCTGAACAATCCCAGGCTGTGAAAGGGAAGAGAAAAAATGGAACCAACTTTAAATCCAGGAGGGAAAAGCTATTATAAGGTATGATAATACCCAAAAGAAATTATCGAAACACATTGAACAACCTTTTTTTAATTAAAAGATTCATCCTCTCCTTTGGTTTGACTCCTCGGGTTTTGTAGTTAATGCATGAATCTGTTTATTAATCTCATAATTCTCTCTTTCATTTAATTGAAGAATGATTACTCAATGGACTTGAAAGTGATTCGATCGAGAACAGTTTTTTTTTAAAAAAAATCTGTAGAGACACGTGTCATCCCCGGATTAAACTAACTCCCCGGATTAAACTAACTGTAGTTTTATATATATGATGATGATGATAGATAAGAAAAATCATAAATACATTATTCAATAACAAATATTTTATATTTATATAGTACATCATTCAACAAAAATTTAAAAACAAAACCATTTTTATGAGTCAAACGAATTATAAGGATTACATAGGGGTATCAATTTGGACCCGAGGTCCGAAGCCCGACCCGACTCAGTCCGAAAATTAGCAGGTTTCGGACCGAAGTTTCTTGGTTCGAAAAAAAATGGGCTTTCGGACCGGGCTCAAATCGGACTTCGGACCAACCCGAAAGTCCGAAAATTTTTTAAAAAAAAGAAAAAAAGAAAAAAAAATAACATTTACAAAAGAAGGTCTGCGGGCCGGCCCGACCCACCCCGACCCGACCCGAGTTCGGAATGCATAGGGCCGGATTTCGGGCTTAATTATATAGGCCCGAAAAAAATCGGGCTGGCCCGAGCCCGAAACATCCGGACCGAGTGCGGGCTCAGGTTGGGTCGGGCCGGGCTGTTCTGATTGATACCCCTAGGATTACATAATCACAAGAGTTAAAATTTAAGTTCAAATTGTATCAAAATTTAGGCATTTACACAGTGTATAATTCAACAAATATTCTGAGAAAATCATAATTTTTCCAATAATGATATTGATTTCCGCATAATAACAAATCTTAAATACAAAAAAAAATGAAAAAACCATCAAGCTTCATAATAAATACCAAATTTTAAAATATTATTTATCTATTCCCACTATATTAATTTTCTGAGTTTTTTTTAACAATTTTATAGTGAATATTTTGATTTTTTTATTAAATTTAAAATGATTTTTTCGACCACATGAATTCTTCTTTTCCATCCCTTTCAGTTTTTTGTCATATCTTCCAACATCTGCAACACGTCCAAATCATTCTTAATGAGTCGTTTCCAAGTAAGTCTAGATCTACCCCTTTCTCGTTTCTTCTCCTCCATCTTTATACTTTCTAATTTTTTAACAGGAGGAGCATCTAGCGGTCTACGTTTTACATATTCAAACCACTTTAAACGCTACTCACGTAATTTCTCTTCTGTGATTACGATTCCTAGTTTCACTCTAATAATAATAATATAATTTTTTGGGAGGGAAATAAGCATTTTTGTTCAGTTTCTACGTAGATTTTTAATTATATCGAATGTAACAACATAACATAATCATCACGTTTCCATCCCAAAAATAAAAAAACATCATCATCACACTTCATTAGATATACTCAGGAAAAAAAATCATAATAAAATATAATTTTAAAAAATATTAAGATATTAAAACGTGACAACAATAATATTATGTAGTAAAAAATGAAGTAGATGATAGGTTTGAAACGAATTGGCAAATACCATAACCAACTAGTGGGTTTTCAATTGTATAATTCTAGTATATAATTTTCTACCCTCGTTTTTTAATACCAAAATTCAATTAAATAAAACCAAATCCAATAACATCTAATTTGGACCAAATCAAATGACAACCTTTATTTTATTTTATAAATTTCCACGTTAGGTCCATGTGCCATCAAATTTCTTACAACTATATTTGGATTATTAACCAAATAACCGAATCGAGCTGATCCAAATAAAATATAACCGTAATCAAACCGAATCTGAAAAGAGTGATTGAAAAAACCGATGTTTTTTTGAAAAAAAATGAGTTTTACCAATAAAAAACTGAATTTGAACTAAATCGAACGAAAATAAAAACGAACCGATTTGAAATTAATATAAAAACCGAGGTTATAGTTTTTCTATACTGAACCGAAACCCAAATGGTTACTCCTAATTACTCCATATTTCTCCCTTTCATCGACCCTCACGCATCTTGAAAGCTGCATAGAATGTTTCCGGGACCTGAATATGCAGGGGAACGATACTCTACGAGGAGAAACACACTTACATTGATCCAGCCCGTTTCGTGACTCGCTTCGAAATCTAGCTTCCGTTCCAAAACCCGCCATTTGAAGCAGAGAGTCTTTTCAGAGACAGAAGGCACTGCCGTCCAATAATAGAATGATTGCTTGCTTGCTTGCTTGAGATTAGATGTCCGGGTGGTTTTTGGCTCTAGAGATCATATTATAGATTGAAACAGACGGATCCATTGATGAAGCAATCATCTTTTCAACCAAACCCTCGGCCTCCTGCCATTTCCTTTCTCTGCAAAGAACTCCGATCGTTGAACTATAGCTAGCAATGTTCGGGACAAATACCTTCTCTTCCATCTCCCTCAGCAGCCTCAATGCTCTATAAGAACTACCCTCTCTGCAATACCCGAGAATCATCTTGTTGTATATGATGCCATTTGGTTTCACCTTCCTGTCACACATCGACATAAAGAGCCTGGAAGCTTCGTTCATCTGGCCTTTAATGCAAAACCCGTGAATCAATACACCGAAAGTATGGACATCCGGGCATAATCCTGAATTCTCCATCGACGAGTGTAACTGAATCGCTTTCTCCATGTCACCTGATCGAGCAAATGTGCCTATCAATATCGTGTATGTTACTTCTGATGGTTTTATCCCTCTCTCTTCCATCTCCTTAACCAGATTGGCTGCTCCTTTGGGGTCTCCTGCTTTACAAAACCCTGAAATGAGAACATTGTAAGTGACGAGGGATGGAGACATACCACTCGATTTCAAATCTTTGAATAAACTCAACGCCTTTGCCAGCTCGCCTACGCTACAGAACCCATCTAACAAAGTGTTATAAGTGATCAAGTTCGGAATTATCCCAGCATTCTTCATTTGATTCACAAACCTCTTGGCTTCAAACACTCTCTTCTCTCCACACAACCCGAGTATCAGAGTGTTGTAAGTAACGACATTACATGTGATCCCTCTCTCACGCATCTCCTCGAACACTTTAAATGCTTCTCTAGTTCTTCCATCCTTGCACAGTTCACTTATCACGCAATTATATGTATACAGATTGGGCAAGACGCTGTCTGCCTGCATTTTCTTGCACAATTCAAATCCTTCTTTCTTAAACCCGTTCTTGAATAACCCATGAATCAAGGCTGTGTAAGTGTGCTCATTAGCCACCAATCCAATCTTCTTCATCTGAGAAAACAAATCCTTCGCCTTCGAGATTTCTCCTTTCTTGCAACACCCATCAATCAACGTAGTGTAAATAACAACATTAGGGCACAAACCACAATGTTCTAGTTCAACGAGAAGCTCAAAACTCTTCCCTAATTCGCCGGCGTTGCAGCAGCCTTTGATAACAATCCCAAAGCTATGCGCATCCAAATCAACTCTACACTTGTTCTCGTTGAAAAAAGACCACGCCTTGTCGAAAGAGCATGATCTAACGACGAAACCCAGAAGGTTGTTAAAGCAGTTCGATTCGGGGACAAGACCCTCACCAACCATCTCCTTGAAGTAAAACACAGCATCGTCCAGCGACTGAGAGTGGACATAAGCATTAACGATTACCTCGTAGAGACGAACCCTGGTACTCGATCCTTCTGTTTCTGTCAAATACCGTAGAAGAGACGAAGAAGTTAAGTCCAAGAACTGGATTCTCCCCGAGATTACTTGTAGTAAAAGCGACTGCGCGTGAGAGAGCAAGTTCCGACAGAGAAGGAGGCGAAGAAGAAGCGAGAATGATTCGTGGGTGTGCTGAAATCCATAAGAAATCGACGAATTGAAGAGAGAGACGGCTTTCAATGGAGGAACCTTTACCAACTTCGACAAGAGAACTAGGGTTTTGTGGGTTTTCTCCGCCATAGGTTGAAGATTCAGACTAAAAGAGAGACCGGTTTTGGCAAAAATAACATCGGGCGAGAACGAGACAGAGAAGGAGAGTAGCTGAAGACGATGTTGCCGCGGCCAATTCACTCAAATACACCACCTGCGTAGCATCTATTTCACTGGTACCCAAAAAACATAAGCAATTATCAAATGTCTTTCTTACCCTTAAAAAATAGTAAAAAGACGAAATAGCCCTTAATGAAAGCATGTAAAAATAGCACACACACGTGTGATCCTCTTTTGTGATCCTCTTTTATTACAGAGAAATAAAAAAAAGTAGAAAAAACTAAAATTTTACGATTTTACAAATTCAAAACAAAAAAAAAGAGAAAGGGAGAGGAAATACGTAAACGAGCGATCGAACGGGGATTTTGAAGCAAATCGGTGAAGAACAACGAAATTGAGAGAGAACGAAGAAAATAGAGGCTGACTCGTCAAGTGAGAGAGGTTTCAGTGAAACGAATGTTTTATCTCAGTTTTCATTCAATACCTGATGTGAATTGATGTCGATTGTAACTTAGAATTTGTAAAGTTTTTGATACAAAATAGTAAATAAGTAATCGTAGTGAAATGAGTTACGAGTATTGTTATATATTTGATAAATCTACTTGTTTTATTACCGATTATTGACATACTCAAAGCTAAACTTTATTTTGAATTCGACGATATGAATAAGGTTTGAGTGGATGTGTGATCAAAATATTTAGAGAAAAAAAAATATTTTTTTTGGTTATACTAAAAAAATATTTAGAAGAAGAAGAATAAGGAATGTACGAGAAAGAAAAACAAGAATAAGAGTCCGAGAAAGAAAAGATAAGATCGTAACAAAAAATTAAACTCGGTTTTTATTCGTAAAAATTGAACTATATTGTGATATTTTCTATTTGTAAATATTTGAACTCGATAGATGTTTTTGTTGTTTGTAAATTTTAAAATTTGGTTATGTTATTTTGTATTTTTTTCACGTAACACATGTAAAAAATAATCTCTATGAAGTCGTAATTCATGAAAAAGTAAATCGTAATTCATGAAAAAGTTAATCGCAATAGAACAATTATATTCTTAGAACACAATTAATGAAAATAAATTCTAATAAATCGTAAACCATGAAAAAAAGTGATAATTAGAAAGTGACAAAATTTTTTTTTTATAAAAGTCAAATTTCACAAAAAAATATACAAACTTTTGAATTTAAGTAAGTAAATTATTAGGAAAGAAAATTCAAACTTATCGTGTCTCACATGTGACACATGGATCCAATACAAGAAAACTATCTGCAAAAAAAAAACCGGTGATCACGATTATATTGCAACTTATTTATGACTTTCATTGGTCGTAATTGTTTAAAACTCATAAATTTTGACAAATTTTTCATCGATTAATGATGAAACCCTTCAAAATAAGTATTATAAACTGATTTAAAGGTACAAAATTAACAAAATAAAAATTTAAATTTTTTTACAAAGGATGATTGAAAGTGCTCTTATATGTTTAAGAAACATTATGTGGTGTTTTGATCTAAACTTGTAGAATTTGTATAAAAGTTTTATAATATGATTTCAAACTCAATTTTTCTACTTAATTAATCTATATTCATCACTTTTCGAAGAAAACTCGTCAAATTTAACGTTTGGACATTTTTATTGAATTTTGAAAATCGTAATGAATTCATAATCAAGTCGTAAAAAATTAGTTTTGATTGATAATAAGACAAAATTTGGTTGTCTAAAAGTTTATAAAAATCAATGTTTTATACTTTTGACTTTTTTTCTTTGTTTTTTCGATTTTATTTTTTTCATTGTGGATACACACGGATATTATTATTATTTTATCATATTTTTTTTATAAATACCCCTTTTTATATTTTTAGGAATAGATGAAATACAAAAATTCGTAACGCAATTACGATTCAATAGTTTTCAAAAAAATCGTTACAGTTAAAAGATGAAATATACATATATTTCAATTTATATTTCATCTTATAACTGGAGAAAATTTCTTTTTTTTTTTCCTTCAAATCACATGGATTCCACCTCGATTTTTTTCCTTTGTCGAAACAGTGTGCATTACTCTACAAGTCATCCACTACTGATCACATTCGTGTTCGTGTTCCATTACGTCTTTTCTACGAATTGGGTGACCACGGCGGCGAACATTTGGATTCAATGCACGAATGACGTTTCCTACACATTCGGAATATATTCCTCTATCCTCAAATCGACCCAATCGTATGATCGACCAACCTTCGACACGGTCTTCGTCTTCAAAGACATCGGAGCCAACGTAGGAGTTTTCTCTGGCTTCTTTTGTAAGAGTTTTCTCTGGCTTCTTTTACACAGTCATGATCTCCAATCGTCATTCCCATGGCGATGGATTAGAAGGAGCGTGGTGGATAAAATTTGAAACCTAGCTCACGAGAACAGAGGCGGCGGCTGCTTGAGACGAGGTGGCGTCTTGTCCCCCCTCGGTTGGGGGTTGTGCCGATGAAGAGGCCCCCTGGGAAAACCATAGATCAATCCAAAAACCAAAAAGACTGAACTGATGGAAGCCCTATGAGTCACTGAAACGACGACAGGAGGGCCCTTGATTATCAAAAAAGGGAGCAAAAAACGAGCTTTGCCAAAACTCTTCATCAGAACTATTCAGAACTTCTTCTTCGTTGATGTGTCAAGTGGATTCGAAATAATAAAGAATTTTATTGGTAATTATGGAAACTAATTGATTCAATCTGATTTTTTTTTTTGCAGATCATGTTCTTGAAACCCAAAAGAAGTACGATAGAGTATTGAGGAGGAGAGAGAATAACATTAAATCTATCATATTTTTATTTTTACATTTTTTTATTGATCAATTATAAAAAAGGGTATTTTGGAGATTTTGTACATAGGTATATTTAAGTCTTTTTGTTTAAAAGTGATGTACTATTTGTAAAAAAATTTCAAGACATTTTCGGTGGTGTATCACAGAAATTAATGCGACACAAGTGGTGTATTTGAGAAAAAATGCATGTTGCCGCCCGACAGGACAAGACAAAGAAACTGAGAGATCATAACCTTTCTCTGGTCACTTACCGGCGGTTCTGTCACGAAATCCGTTGAGCAGCGAAGCGTAGAACGATTTTATCATTACTGTCACAAAAAGCCTCCTTCTGATTCAGAAGGTTTTGGTGGTATGCTGCAGCAGTAGGCGATGATATTTGGTTCGTTTTTTGTTTCGGTTAATTCCGGTTTGTATGGAACTAAAAATCTAAAACCGATAACATTTCGGTCTATTCGGCTTTGTGTCGAATTGAAACCGATATATTCCGGTTTGTATTAAATTAAACACCGAAAACATTTTAGACTGACAGGCTTTCTTTTTAGTTTAGTTGAATAATGAAAAATCCAAACGATTTTCCACCCTTTTTTTTATCGCTCGTCGACCAAATGTTCCTAGTTTGGGGTAGGGGTGGGCGTTTCGGGAAACGGTTCGGGTTCGGGACGGAATAGATCGATTCGGTTCTTTCGGTTTTACAAAAATAGGTACCAATCGGATTTTTTATTGTATTCGGTTCGGTTCGGTTTCGGTATCGGTTCGGTTCGGTTCCGGGTTTTATTAAAAAAATGATAGATTTTTTTTAAAAATATTCGGTTTTTCGGGATTTTTAAAGTTTGGTTCAGTTCCGGAAAAATTTGGTTCTCTAAAAATGGTATCGTTTGGGAAATAACAACGGTTTCGGGTCGGAAAAAATACCGTTTTAACGGTTCGATTCGGTCCGATTCCGAAGAACCGAACCGAAACGCCCAACCCTAGTTTGGGGTATGAACTCCTCTTCTCTCATACGAACCTTCTTCGTTTGATGGAAACCCTAACGTGTGACCCGCCGCGTGCGCCACCTCCATCATGGATGATGGAGGAGGACCACCTGAAATCATGCCACACGAAAAAAATACGAATGCGAGAGGATGAGATCCCTCCTCCACCATGCAACATCTGGTCAACCGGAGGAATATCTTTCAAGGAGAAGGTAATACGAGGAGCAGGAGACATGGAAGACCCCTTTTTCCACAACGATGTTTCTTTAGCGGAGGAAGACATAGCAATCGAGAAGATAGACCGCAGCTTCAGTGTGTCCCTTTCCCCCGAATTCCTGGAACGAATAAACCATGGAAAAATGCCCTAGTTGTGAAGCTGTTGGGTAAATCCCGACTTGAATCCTTGTGGAAGTCGACTGAATGAATAACGGTGGTCGATCTAGAGAACGATTACTTCCTTGTCCGCTTCAAATCTGAGGAAGACTGCCACCATGCTCTCTAGGGTTTTTTACTCAAATGACCTACTTGGGTCGCAGCTATTTCACACGTACACCACAAAAAACATAACACATTAATTTTTTTTGAAAAGATGAAATTACCCTTAATGAATATACGATATTTATCCGTTCGAAAACAACTTCGTTATTACGACTTCGTAATTAATTCTAAAAAAGGTGGCAAAAAAGTTACAATTGATTCTAAAAAAGGTGGCAAAAAAAATCATCTGTCTTATTTTAGTTGGATATCAGTTATATGTTAGTCGTAATAAGGTCGCAAAAAATAAAAAAGAAAAGGGTATTTCGGACTTTTTCAACCGAAAAGTGGGTTAAAATTGAAAAAAAAAATTTTTTTTTTTTCGGTGGTGTACGCTGAAATAGCTGCGACCCAAGTGGGTCATTTGAGTAAAAAACCCTGCTCTCTATGAAGGTCCGTGGATACTACTGGGCGCGTATCTCATGGTGCAGAGGTGGACACCGGAGTTTGTACCCAACCAAGCAAAACCGTCTAGCAATATTGGTAGAGTTGTTCGGGTAGACTACAACACAGTTTCGGCTTCAAGAGGTAGGTTCGCCAGAGTAGCAGTGGAACTAGATCTAGCAACACCCCTGATTTCCTTTTTTGAAATAGAAGGGCTAATTCGGTTGCTGGAATATGAAAATCTTCCGTCAATATGTGATGCAGTTGAATCGGTTCGGTACACATTTGAACCAAACCCATTATGACCAAGTATTAGATTATTTGCTTAATAAAGGGGAGAATTAGTCTTCTCCACTATT